ATTCCTTACCTGTATTTGAAGGAAACGGGCCATCTGCGCACGGACGCACAGCATACGGTACCTGCACGATGCTCCGCCAAGCAGCTGGAGCATTGCGGAGGCATCGCAGGAGGTAAGGATGCATGTGTGCACTGTGTGCAAGTGCGCATGTGCTGCGCACATTCATGTGGTGGCCTCCAGGCCCCATTGCACCGTACTGGTTGCAACGGGATCCGGAACCCACCACTGTTCTTTCCTCTCTGGGCTATAATTTTAACTGGAACTGGACACCTTGTGACTGCTTTAAATTGGTAGGCACACCTAAATCTGAGATCTGACATTTAAATGTACTACAGGTAATTATTCATTCATTCATTCATTCTTTCTTTCTTTCTTTCTTTCTTTCTTTCTTTCTTTCTTTCTTTCTTTATTTATTTATTTATTTATTTATTTATTAGACTTATATACCGCTTCATAGAGCTTTCAGCCCTCTCTAAGCAGTTTACAGATTTTTAGCAAATTGAGTCAGCATATTGCCCCCACAGTCTGGGTCCTTACTTCACCCACTTCGGAAGGATGGAAGGCTGAGTCAACCTTGAGCTGGTGAGATTTGAACCGCTAAACTGCAGATAACAGTCAGCTGAAGTGGCTACAGTACTGCACCCTAACCACTGCGCCACCTCGGCTCCTTACAACCGTTCATTTAGTGACTGTTCAAAGTTACAAGGGCACTGAAAAATGTGAATTATGACCATTTTTCAAAGTTACAATTTTTGTAGCCTCCCCATAATCATGTGATCAAAATTCAGATGCTTGGCAACCTGTTCGTAGTTATGACTGTTGCTGTGTCCCAAGGTCATATGATCACCTTTTGTGACCTTCTGACAAACAAAGTCAATGGGGAAACCAGATTCACTTAAAACTGGGGTACTAACTTATCAACTGCAATGATTCACTTAACCACTTTGGCAGGAAAGCACATAAAAAGGGGCAAAACTCACTTAACAAATGTCTCACTTAACAACAGAAAAATTTGGGCTCAATTGTGGTCGTCATAAGTTGAGGATTACCTGTATTGCTCTATCACTAGAAGTGGAAGATGAAGAACCCTTTTTTGTGCTTCCTAAAGCTTCAGAATGGTGCACCACTGAAATTCAGTTGAGTCGGTTCTGAAATAAGAAAGACTGGTGAACCACAAACTAAGCTTAAAATGGGATTAACATTTATTTTATTTAAAGAAAACCTGAACCCCGCAAAGCCTTAAAATCCAAGCCCCATCTACATACAAGCTGCAATCCCATTATTTTGTATCACCTAGTACAGTGATGGCTAACCTTGTTGTTGCTGGGTGCCAAATGTGGAAGTGCATGCGTGCAATAGTGCACATGCATGCTGGAACCCATAATGCAAAGCACCACCCCCACATGCGCATGCGGGCACAATCCCCCCCATGCTCCCCCCCGCACGCAGCACTGCTCACCTCCAATCTGCGCTTGGCATTTCCTCTGGGGGAAAGCCTCCAGAGCCTGGGGCGGGTGAAAAATGGGCCCAACGGGCCTCCCCAGGCTCCAGAGGCTTTCCTGAAGCCTGGGGAGGGCAAAAATGGTCTCCCCCAGCCCTCTGGAAGGCTGAAAATCAGCTGGAGCTGACAGCTTGCATGCTCGCAAATATGGCTCCGCATGCTACCTGTGGCACGCATGCCATAGGTTCGCCGTCACGGACCTAGTGTATTGTGTCTCTATATTAAGCAATTAATTGTGCCTCTAGCCACCTGTACTATCAGGCCCTGTCTATTTAGTTCAGG